ATTCAAAATTCAGGATCAAATGGGTTACAATTGAAAGTCAAGGATCAAAGGGACACGAGTCATAAACTATATGGATCGTTAGTGTAGTTTGCCCTATAATTAATACTTTACTTTCTCCATCAATCATACTATCACGGAGTACTACGTGACCATATTTCAAGACTACCGAATAATCAAGGCTAGCCTTGGGCATAGGCCCACGAGGCCATGGCCTAGGGCTCCTCAAAATAAACCCAAAAAAGGGGCCCCTTTCTATTATAATTTAGTGTAATATATTAGGTATGTTTTTAGTCCAAAAAAAATTGAAAAAGGCCCAAACTAACTTAAAATAAATTAACCCATTCAAAAATTGAAAGTCATATTAAAAAAAATTAGCATTGTTATCCATTGAGGCCCCCTCCTATTATAGTTTAGTGTAATATATTAGGTATATTTTAAGTCTAAAAAAAATTAAGGAAGGCCCAAACTAATTTAAAATAAATTGAATCATTAAAAAAATTGAAAGGCCCATTAAAAATAATTAGTATTGTTATCCATTGAAAATGATTTTTCAAAAAAACTAGATTATGCAAGTATAATTGATTTATTTGCTTCTAAAAATGCAAGAAGAGCAAGAATTAAGCGATATTTATTAGTTGTTGTAATGTAATGCTAAGTATTTTTTGTGATTTTGACAGAAATATTTTGTCCTTTATCTTCAATTTTTTTTTTCATTTAATGAAAAAAAAAAATGTGAAGGATCCCAAAAATTTATTTGTTGATTATTGGCTTTGGGCCCCGAAAATATCAGGGCCGGGCCTACGAATAATCACCCATGTTAAACGTAATAAATGATGTTTTACTACATTTAGGGTTCGTTTGGGAATTAGTTATTTTTAGGTTGTGTTTGATTGAGGGATTCACAAAGGGGAAGAGAAAATGAAAGGGAAAATGTGGGTGGAATGTAAATGAAACTAGATGGAATGCAAATATATTTTATTCACATTCCACCTATATTTTTCCTTTCGTTTTTCCTTTTTATATCTCTTCTCAAATCTCTCAATCAAACACAATGTTAGTTATTTTTCTATTTTTTCGCAAAAAATGTGTAAAAAAATATAGAACGTGATGTGATAATTTATAATAATTTTTTTATTAAAATAATCTGTTGACAAACGAGGCTTTATGTGTCTTGGTATTTATAGAGTTCTAAATAATTATTATTTTTATGCATACATAATTTTAAAGTAGCTACTATATACAAACTCAAAAGTCATTGAAATATTCAAATAATAAATACATTGACACACAACAGTTAAATTTTTCCAATTTATATTTCAGCTATATGTACCAATGCAGCACTGATTTTTGATTCTGAGTTTGATAATGTTTGACTATCAATCATGTATCTACATAAAAGTGAGGATGATATTGAATGTAAAAAAATTGGTAATTATTTAGTATTTTCGGAGTATAGATACATGGTGTTTTATAAGATTTTGATTAGTAGAGAGAGGTAGGAGCCCACAATTTATGTTAGGGATGAGAGAACAACATGGAGGTTATGTAATTGGTGATTGACTTTGAGTATGGCCATGTGATGTTCCGTAATTATTAAATAATTTTTCGTAAAAAATCTACAAAAAAAAAAATTGTAGAAAGTTATTCGTGAAGCCACTACAAGAAATAACAGTTTTGTCGACCAAAATATTAGTCGCCAAAGGTCACTTTTTTAGTCGCTGATACAATTAGCGATCGTGACTAAATTTTTTTGTCGCCAAGTTAGTCGCCTGAACCCTGTCGGCGAATGTTTTAGCGACTAAACGTGTGTTTAGTCGCTGAAAGTAAAACATTTTGCTACTATTTTATTTAGTCGGCAAAACCTACCTTTTAGCTACTAAATTATTGGTCGCCAATTGTCAATTATATTTTTTTAAATTATACATTTACCAACCCAATGTTTTAGTCGCCAATACTCAAGGAATCGGCGACCAAACCTTTTAGTCGCTAAAAGCTCATTCGTGAAAAAAAAAATTACTCTACTTTTGTGGAGATTTGAACCATCAACCTCCCACACCATAAATCTTATACAACACCCTCTTTCCACTCCGCCTCCATAGCACCATATGATTATAGATGCAGCATATATTGTTTATATAGTACATAGACCTGTATTAATATAAAAGTATATATATAAAGATAATTATTTTTTATTCAACATAATTTATGTAAAAATAAATTATTTATTAGAAAAAAAGAGACCACTTTTGGCGACTAATGGCGACTAAAAACTAAACATAATTTTAGTAGCCAATTCTATACTTTTGGCTACTAATAATTTTTTAGTGGTTAAAAATAAAATTCCCGCGCTAAAATTACTACTTTTGGCGACTAAACTTCTTTTTAGTCGCCGAATGCCTCACTTTTGGCTACTAAATTATTGTTAGTTGCCAAAAACCCTCTCTTTTGGCTACTAAAATTTTTTTGTCAGTAAAGGCCTCACTTTTGGCTACTAAATTTTTTTTAGTTGCCAAAGGGCCTAACTTTTGGCTACTAAAATTTTTTTAGTCGGTAAAAGGCTCACTTTTGGCGACCAAACATCGTTTTGGTAGCCGAATGCCTCACTTTTGGTTACTAATTTTTTTTAGTCGCCAAAGGGCCTTACTTTTAGCTGCTAAAATTTTTTAGTCAGTAAAAGCCATATATCGGCGACTAAACAGATTTTTAGTTGCCAAAACCTATACTTTTGGCTACTAATACTTTTTTAGTTGCTAAAAGCTATAATTTTAGTGACCAAATTTTTTTTAGTCGGGAAATTTGGTCGCCAAATGTGCTTTTTCCTGTTGTGAGCTAGACAGCTTATATAAGAAATTAATTTGACGTAGTACACAAATTTTTTTTGAATATAGGAGAAAAAAAATATTGAATTCACGGAGAAAAATATATTAAATATATTGTTTAAAAGTCGGGATGAGGGATGTTGCTATGCTCAAAGCACAACAGCTCTTGTTGTGCAGTTTTACGGTGCCGTTTTGGGCCAACAAAGGTTTGATTTACTGCTTGGCTGCATTATTAAAATAAATAAAAAAATTTGTCTTTTTAAAAATAAAAAATAAAAAATTGTATCTCTTAGAAATTGCTTTACATTTTCACTTTAACACATTTTTTATACCAAATTTTTTTTAGTCGGGAAATTTGGTCGCCAAATGTGCTTTTTCCTGTTGTGAGCTAGACAACTTATATAAGAAATTAATTTGACGTAGTACACAAATTTTTTTTGAATATAGGAGAAAAACAATATTGAATTCACGGAGAAAAATATATTAAATATATTGTTTAAAAGTCGGGATGAGGGATGTTGCTATGCTCAAAGCACAACAGCTCTTGTTGTGCAGTTTTACGGTGCCGTTTTGGGCCAACAAAGGTTTGATTTACTGCTTGGCTGCATTATTAAAATAAATAAAAAAATTTGTCTTTTTAAAAATAAAAAATAAAAAATTGTATCTCTTAGAAATTGCTTTACATTTTCACTTTAACACATTTTTTATACAATTTTTCAATACTAACAAAGGTCTTTAGGATTGCTTTTAGCAATTTTTTAATAAAAGATAATTTTTGAAACAATACTACAAACTCATCTTTATCAATCTAGAATTTACTCAGAAAACTGAATTATTGGTTCAAATTCATTTTACTTATGGGTCCCACATTTCATTAATTTAATCTCCACTATATAAATACATTTTGGGTAAATTATGGATTGATAATGGTAGGTTCATAGCATTTTTGTTTTTGAAATTTAGAAATGAAATTGAGTTAGCAAGTGACTATTTTGTTTAAAAAGTCAAAAAAAAAAAAAAAAAAAATTTAAAAAGTCAAGATTCATATTTTAGTAAAAACAAATCATAAAAAAATCACTTCCCAAACAAGGCCTAATTTTTATGAGTAATTTCATCCATATTTACCATGGGCCATTTGGCGGTGGTTAATATTTGTATGTGCATAAAAATTATATTAAAATATGTAAAAGGTGTATAAAATATGTGAAATATGAATTTTTAATAAAGTAAATACTAAATTTATTTTTTATTTATTAAAAGACTCATTCAAATAGAAAGCAAAAGAATTATATTGAGCTTAAAATTCTATTTTACATACTTTCTTATTTAACTAAATAAAATTATATAAGAAATTGAAATTTTATAGAAAGGGAATCCCACACTCTTCAAATGATGTGTATTATAAGTATCTTATGTATTTTTATAGTAATTATACATATTTTATGGTTAAAAAATGTTATTAAAAGATATATAACATTATCACAAAATACTAATCTTATTTCTAAATTATAAATTATCATAACTTTGGCAAAATTTTATATAATATTTATTAAAAAAGCGTAACTTATAAAAGTGAAAATGTAAAGGAATTTCTTAGAAATACTAATTAAAAATAAAAAACAAAGGGACAATTTATTTATTTATTTTTATAATGCAGCCAATAAATAAATCAAAGCTTTGTTAGCCCAAAACAACATGTAAAACTGCTTTGCTAGAGCTATTGTGCTTTGAGCAGAGCATCATCCCCCATCTCAAAAGTCCTCTTGTCCTAATGGGTGTATGATTATTTGTAATATACGAAATCCTAATCTTAAAAAGAAACAACTAATTAGGCAAGAAAATAATAAAATAGGATATTGTGATATTTGAGTTTAATAGTGCTTAGTGTAGAATATTGTGATAGATATTGTGCAGAATATTTGATATCTCTAGTGTATCAATATTTTATATCCATAGTGCATCATCCCCACTTTGTTCGTTTTGGTAAAAAATAATTTTCAATAAAAAACATTTTCTACAAAAAAAAATTTCAGAAAATATTTTCCATAGAAAACGTTTTTCTATATTTGATTGCATTCTCGAAACTAATGCATTAATAGTTGCATTAGTTGTTGTAGTAGTGATAGCAGCGGGGTGGAAGAGGAGGCAGTAATAGTAGTTGTGGAAGCGGAGGTGTTGGGGATGGCGGCGGTGGCAGTGGCAGTAGTGGTGGTGGTGGTAGTGATAAGGTAGAGGTGGTGGTGGTGTGGTGGTGATAGAGGTGATGGTGGCAATGATAGTGATGATGGTAGTGGTAGTGGTAGTGGTAGTGGTGGTGTGGTGGAGGTGATGGTGGTAGTGGCAATGTAGTGGCATTTGTAAAAGTTTAGTTCATAAAACATTTTTTGTCTTTTAAAAAATGAAAAATATTTTCCGTGTAAATAAGTTTGTTTTTCATTAACTTCTAGTGACTTCAAGAACACTCCAGCAAGAAATGTCTAGAATATTGTCGGAGTGTTCAGTGACATCAAGAATACTCTGGAAATTCCAATGACTTCTAATGGCGTTAACCCTATATATTGTGCATTAAGTAAGAAATTAATTGATGTAGTATATCAAAAACCTTGAATATATCCCCCCCAAAAAAGAACTTTGAATCCACAAAGGAAAAAAACTCTGATTAAATAAGAAACCCTAATCCTACGAGGAAACAATTTAGTTAGGCATAAATCAATTAGGAAATTATAAAATTTGGCAATATATGAGTTGAATAAAATTTAGTGTCCTACATATTGTACAGAATATTTAGTATTGTTGATTTTAATTATGCCCAAATTTTAGAAACATGCCAAAACGATAACACTAAAACAGGACATTTCAAAATAAAGTTATTGTTAAAATAATTTTTTTTTTATAAATGCCAAAATTATTAATTTGAGGACCTAAAACAAAAAAGAAAAAAGAAAAAAGAAGGGCCCAAAGTCTACCATGCTTCATCACTACAGTAATGCAAGAAACATTGGCCCCGTTTGGTGTAGCTGTTAAAACAGCTTATAGATTATAGCTTAACAGATTATAGATTATGACTTTAATCAGAAGTTGTTAATCTGTTTGGTGTAACTGTTGGATTATAGATTTAAGTTGCTGAGTAGTGTTTGTTAAATAAGCTGCAAAAAAGAAAAAAGAAAAAAGAAAAAAGAAGGGCCCAAAGTCTACCATGCATCATCACTACAGTAATGCAAGAAACATTGGCCCCGTTTGGTGTAGCTGTTAAAACAGCTTATAGATTATAGCTTTAATCAGAAGTTGTTAATCTGTTTGGTGTAACTGTTGGATTATAGATTTAAGTTGCTGAGTAGTGTTTGTTAAATAAGCTGTGAAATAGCTTTTTCAATTAATTTTTATTTTTTGTTTGTCTATATTTCTCATAAAAAAAAATAATAATAATCTATAGTCCATTTGAGTCTTTTTCTATTTTTTAAAAAATAAAAAATAAAAAAATTTAACAGTATAACCATAAATTAACATGTCCACAGCAGAATCTGATAATCAGAAGCAAGGGGTGAGCAGCTTCTTAGAATTAGCTTTTTTGAGTTAAAATAAACTGTTAGAATCAGAAGCTGTTTGAAATAAGTTTAACCAAACAGTCCAAAATAACTTTTTCAAAGCTAAAAGCCATAAGTTGGCTCTAGAAAGCTGAAACAAACACCCCCATTGACTAGTGTACCGACTACACTAATTAGGCATTGTTTGGAATTAATTAATAAAGATAAAAAGTCAAAAAATTACTATAAAAGCTAAAATTCTATACTATTCAAGGGTAGCATGTGGGGGAAGCGACTAGAGCAAAATTATTATTTTGCTTTTTGAATTCAACTACCCAAAAAATCAAAGAGTTAAAAGTCAAAAAGATGAAATGATCATTTTGATTATATTATAATATTTTATTAAGCATTTTTTCATAAAATGTCAAAAAATTATTCCAAACATACATATTTTTTTCTCTACTTTTTTAACTAAAAATTTAAAAGTGCACTTATATAGCATATCCCAAACAACCATCTAGTATTTCCAACACTATTGCCATCACCAAGAACATCGATCTAAAAGGTGTCTTTCATTTAGATTACCAAATTTTAGGGATTCAAAGCTTATAAATAAAAAAATTTAAAACAAAATAAAACGAAACATTTCTACTACTCATTCTATATCATCTTTTGTTGTTGTCTTTCAAGGCTGATCAAGTGATAGATGAAGTAAATTCATGGGTCAAAAATGAAACCAAGGGACTCATCAAGAATCTCCCTCCTCCTGGATCTTTATATGGTGACACTGCACTCCTCTTTGCCAATGCATTATACTGCAAAGGACAATGGGATCAAAAATTCGATAAAACATGTACAAGAAACATGAATTTTCATCTTCTCGATGAAGAGATCGCTCAAGTTCCTTTCATGACAAGCAAAAGAGATAGTCGTCAACTTTACGGATTATTCGGTGGATATAAAATCCTCAGTATTCCATACCAAGGTAGCAACTTCTCCATGTACTTTTTTCTTCCAAATGAAACAGATGCTTGCCAAAACTAGTCAAGAAACTCAAGTCTAACCCTGGATTCATGCATCAGGAATTTGGGTTGAGGAAAGAGGATGTTTCTAAATTATGGATCCCAAGATTCAAATTCTCATTCGAGTTTGAAGCTTCGGAGACCATTAAGCAAATGGGGTTGAAACTACCTTTCATGAATGTTGGTGAATTGACAGAGATAGTGGTAGGTGGTGGCGTTGAACGCGGTGGTCTTTTTCTCTCCAAGGTGTTCCATAAGTCATGTATTGAAGTGAATGAGGAAGGCACAGAAGCTGTTGCTAGTACTACATCCACGTACAGGCTTGTCAGTTTGAGAATTCCAACTCCAATTTTTGTAGCTGATCACCCTTTTATGTTCATGGTAAGGGAGGAAACTTCAGGGGCTGTTTTGTTCACTGGTGCTGTGCTCAATCCTCTTCTTGAGCAAGGTGCTCAATCCTCTCTTATGCAAAGTTTTTGGACACTAACTCCCTTTGGTACAACTTATGGTTTTTTTTTTTTATATATATATTTTTAAATTGCAAGTCTATATAAGGATATATTTGATGTTGTGTCTATTTTCAATTTTTTTTATGCTACGCATTATGATATTAATAAATTAGTAGTATTAGATTATTATAACTGGTCATTGACTCGAACCTAAACTATTATACAAAGTTTTCGGACACTATAAGCTCCTTTGGTACAACTTATGGGGTGTTTATAAATATATTTTTTTAAATTGGAAGTCTATATAAGGATATTTGATGTTGTTTTCTACTTTCAAAAATATATATATATATATATATATTTTGACTACACGCTTTGATGTTAATAAGTTTGTAGTGTTGGATTATTATAACTAGTTGTAGAGAGTCAGAAATTAAATCCCAAATTAAGTATGGGTCTAAGTGATAAGGTCGCCCTTCTAAGACATCTAGGAATGAAAAGAGAGCATGGGCTAAAGCCCAAGGGAAGTGGGCTAACAGTGGACCGAAACAGTTTCGACACGCCAAGGGTCCAAACGGACTCCACGAAGGAAAATACCAAATTCAAAGTTGCAAAGGCAACACTTGCGGCGGTCAAGTTGCGGAGGCACTTTGCCTCAGCGCCGCCATTCCCCAATAATGTCGGTTCAGCCACCACCTGAAGTTGCTGAGGAAAGCCGAAGCAACTAAGTTGCAGAGGCGACATGTGTGACGGCCAAGTTGTAGAGGTACTTTGTCTCAGTGCTGCCATTCCAAGTATTGTTGGTTTCGCTGCCATCTAGAGTTACTGAGGGAAGGAGAGAACCGAAGCAACTAAGTTGCTGAAGCATTACTTGCAGCGCCCAAGTTGCGGAGGCACTTTGTCGGCGTTGCAGGAAATGACTGCCGCAACAAGCAACTTGCGGAGGGAACATCCCGCCAAGGTGATAGTAGCCTTTGGGAAAAGCTTCCCTTCTGCAAGTAGAGGCTAATGCTTGGCGCTGATAGCAGGCCCCAAAGTTCATTACCTTGGCGTTGATAGCAGGCCCCGAGACATACTGGTTGGAGTTGATAGCAGGCCTAGAGATAGCAGTTTACTGTGGCAACCCCGCGAAAATGGGAGCAGGGCAGCCTGAGCACAAGGGACTCCCTTTCCATTTATCCAGGTCACGAACCTGTCTTAGTCGCATAGGCAGGAGTAACGAAGCCCCTTTGGGCTTGGTACTCAGGCACAGCATGACTGATAGCAGGTTCGGTTGTGGCCTTTGCCCTGGAAAGCTGGGGAGTTTATGGTTAGGTGGCTAAGGGTGGAGGTTTTGCTGAGGTGAGCATGAACATAGTCGATAGCAGACTAATGGAGGCTTGAGAATGCATGTACTGGCGAAGTAGAACTGAGAAGGCAATTACAGCAGAAAGGTTTACCGTTGCAAGTGCACTTACTGAGGTTCGAGTTGAGAAGGCAAGTGCAGCGACAAACACTTCTGCCGTAACTGCACTTGCTGAGGTGCAAAAAAGGTAGTTGTGGAGGCAAACATATGGTACATGCAGAGGGACACGTGGCACCTTCAGTCTGGTGGCTCAAGGCAGAATATTCCATGTGATCCTTTGGGACACATGTCCTCTCTTTATTTGGCCACTTGATGTCCTCTTGGTACCAAGGAAAAGCCTATAAATAGGACCATTTCCCAAGGTTCAAAAGGAGGAATTTTGGGGATTTAGGGGAGATGCTGCCCGTTTGTGCACTGCCATACTTTTCTTCTTGAGCTACCTGCTTCACTCTTACCTAGCTACATACTCTCCAAGACCCAGATAGCTGCTATTGCTCATTTTTCAGCCATTCTACCATTGTTGGACCATTAGTATAGTTTGGCTTCTCTAATCACCTTCCTAACCCTGAACCCCCTTACATTTTGGTGACTCTGCTGGGGACGCTGCTTTGTTGCTGATTCATACCCGCAGTGGTTTACACATTTCATTAGAAAAAATGGCAGAGGATGAAGTTCAGTAACCCCCACGGCAGCAAGGCTCTTCCAATGGCGGAGTAGCATATGCGGAGAATCGTGACCATAGTGTTGTGGTTGAGGTAGTCCAGTCACTCTAGGATATACAGAGAGAGATCCTGGCAGCTTTGCAAACCCTTACTGATGGTGTCCAGACCAGCTCCAGCGCAGGCACCTCCACCTGTAACAGTCCCAAACCTAGTGCCTAACCTGTTCCTTGGGAATCAGGCTCCGATCCAGGTGCCTCCGGTGGTACCTCCGGTGGTACCCCAGGTGAACAATATGGCTGCTGGTTCAGTTACCCAAGAGCAGACTGGACCATTCGAGCCCACTCACTTTGTTACTCAAGTCGATGTACAAGCTATGTTCGAGCAAGAGCGTAGCAAGAAACAACTACCATCTCTCCCCGACCCAGATGTGAAGCCTCCATACTCTCAGGAGATATTGGTTATGCCATACACAACTAGGTATACAGTACCCAAGTTTGTCAAGTTTGATGGGATGCAAGGCAATGCCAGAGAACATGTGGCGAGAGGTTCATCAAAACACTTGGTGTCCAAGGTAGTGACCACTCTCTGTGCCTCTAGGAGTTCTCCAAATCACTTACCGAAAGAGCTTATAGCTGGTATGTGAACTTGGCCCCCAACTCGATCAAGAGTTGGGAGGAGATGGTGAACAAGTTCCATACGAAGTTCTTCCAAGTTCAAGAGAAAGTTACAACTTTCACGATCAGACGAAATGTCCAAAAGGAAGGTGAAGATATACTGAACTATGTCAAGCAATTCCAAGATAAGGCTATTGACTGTTATGAGCCAGTGGATGAGGCCCACTTAGTTAGCATATGTGTGGAGGGTGCCATACGCGACTATAAATTTTCTTGGTGAACCATAATTTGCCTACCTTTTTAGCCTTGGTTGAGGCAACTAGGAACCTCAGTATCACTGGCCCTCTGCATAGATGTCGCGACAGTCACCGTTACTCCCGTAGTAGCAGAGTTGATGCGGTAACCTCTGCAGGAGGGAGCTGCTCGCAAGGGGAGGTGTCATCCTCTAGGAAGAGGAAGAGTTATGAGGACAGAAATAAATTTCCATGCAACCTTGAGAATGTTAAGGCCTTGGTTGAAGAATGGGTAGCCGATGGTGAACTTACTTTGCCTCCGGTTGATGTCCCCACAACCAAGAAGGACAAAGAAATCCTAGATTATTGTATCTATCACAGAGCCACCAGACACCCTACTGGGAACTATTGGACTTTGAAAAGTATCTTCAAGAAGAAAGTTGATGTGAATGAGTTGAAGTTCAAAGATGCCAGTAACCGTGATGTAAGGAAGGACCCTTATCCTAACCACAAGGAGAAGGGGAAGAATGTACATATGATTGGCTATCTTGGGCCTGTATGTGATCAAGTGCACATGGCGTCCTACTATGATGAGTTAGAAGAAATTGCAACTGGCCAGCTCCTCGAAACAGTACCTGCAAGAGGCAAAACTCGTAGAGGTACTCATGCTCAAGCCTTAGAATGACGTCTTTGCTTGGACATATGACGAGATGCCTGGTATTGACCCATCCCTTATCACTCATCATCTAGACACTTTTCCCAACTCTAAGCCAATCAAGCAGTATGCTTGAAAATATCACCCGATCAAGTGCACATGGCGTCCTACTATGATGAGTTAGAAGAAATTGCAATTGGCCAGCTCCTCGAAACAGTACCTGCAGAGGCAAAACTCGTAGAGGATACTCATGCTCAAGCCTTAGAATGACGTCTTTGCTTGGACATATGACGAGATGCCTGGTATTGACCCATCCCTTATCACTCTTCATCTAGACACTTTTCCCAACTCTAAGCCAATCAAGCAGTATGCTTGAAAATATCACCCTGATCTTGAGGCAAAGATTAAGGAAGCAATAGAAAAGTTGCAGAGGGCCAAGTTTGTTGAGCCTATACAGTACCCAACATGGCTAGCAAATATTGTGCCTGTGAAGAAGAAGAATGGCCAAATCAAGGTCTGCGTAGACTTTCGCGACCTGAACAAGGCCTGCCTAAAAGATGAGTTTCCACTGCCCCATCTTGACACACTTGTCGATTCTACCGCAGGCCATCAGATGTACTCTTTCATGGACGGGTTCAGTGGTTATAACTAGATCAAAATGGCACTAGAAGATGTAGAAAAGACAGCTTTCAGAACACCCTTGGGAAATTTTTTCTATACGGTAATGCTTCTCGGTTTTGTGGAGGCCGAGTAAAATCAATTAGGAAGAGGCCAAGGCATTTGATCAACATCAGGCCAAAGGCAATTCAGCCCTGACCAGGGGCTCATGAAGCTGAATAAACGAATCGGCTATATAAGGAGCCGAATAAGAGCCAACACTCAATTGGAAGGCCGACTAAGTAACTACGTGTGAGATCAAGAATGGGCTCGACCCTTGGGCCCAGAGGTAATATAAAATGGAAGGAATGTTAGCTAAAGGAGGTATGTGAGAATTTACAAGATAACTTGAGATAGAAATAAATTTGAGAGGGTACTAACTTGTCCGTCGGAGTGCTAATTCTAGT